ATTCAGATCGTTCTATCTTGTTCTTGTTGCTAGTTCCCTTTGATTTCCTTTATGTTTAAGCTTCCTGGTGAAATAAGTCCTAAACCATCGATAGTCATCATCTGGTTCTGTCTAACCTCTCACTCTGTAATATATATTGTATCAAGTATGGCGATGAGGCAGATAGTCAATGTAGCTTGCCCTATTATTGCCACTGAAACAATTATTGTCTCATGAATCGAATTCTTAATCCTTACAAACTTACTCGATTTCTAAACAAACGAAGGTAAACAACAAATAGCAATGAAACAATAGAATATGTTTTTGTATTAAAATAACTCAACTTAAATTATGCTACATACTTATGCCCCATTTAAGTCAATCAGTAATAAGAATTATCTTTAAAAACGTGATAATTTAAGTTATATGTATTGCATATTCATTTTGTGCATGTAACGTCAAGAATATATCGCAAGAATGTTATCATATCTTTTTGGGACGATGTTTACGTTTAAATAAAATAAGAATTAAATATAATGTTAAAAAACGTGATATTGGATATGTCCTACAGTTTTGAAGTTGCGGCTAATGCTTGCTAGAATTATTCTCTTTTTGTTTTCATAATGACTTATGCCCAAAACATTATGCAATGTCATTATAACGTTATGTCGGTAGATTAATATTTATTTACAATCCTACCCTCACTTTCTTGCGTAGTTGTGTAGAGATGAGTCGTACTCGATAAAAGACAGACCTAGTCTTAGGAGTACAAGTACATACTTAAAAGGACTCGTTCCACGACTATTTATATATGTGTATCTGAGTTACCAAAATATAGGAATTAGGTACCATTAGTTAAGTATTTTTTTAACGAAATATATGCTGATGTGCACCTAGTATACGTTAGACAGTCCTATAAGAAGGTCGTCCAGATTTTCTAAGCGAAGATTGATTAATTTTCTAACCTTAATCAGTTGTCCGTTAGAATTGGTCCTCGCACATCAAACAAAGGAATTAAAGTTCAAGCTGCTTACGAGTGCATTCTAGTAACCGACATATAACTCTATTAATACCAGTGATTTCCATATTTATTAGCAATTATTCGTTCAAAAGCAACTTAATCAGACAACAATACTATCATATTAATAATAATCAAAGTATTATAGGCCGGGAGATAGTGACACAAAATAGTTAGTCATTTGTACCAGTAAGGCGGTTCTACAGGGGTCTTATTACTAAATTAAAAAAAAAGAATTTTGATTCTTTGATTTGATGATTTGATTTGACTCGCGAGTGCGTTGCCGGCCTTTTAAGAATTGGTACGCTCTTTTCTTGAAGGACCCTAAGTCGAATTGGTTCGGGAATACTTCAGTGGACAGCTGGTTCCACATAGTGGTGGTGCGCGGCATAAACTGCCTTGAAAAACGCTCAGTTGTGGAACGTCGGACGTCGAGGTGATACGGGTGGAATTTCGTATTCTGCCTCGACGTCCGATGATGAAACTCAGCTGCAGGTATTAATCCGAACAACTCCTCTGAACACTCTCCATGGTAAATGCGGTAGAAGATGCAGAGTGACCCCACATCTCTACGCAACGCCAAAGGATCAAGCCGCTCGGAGAGGGATTGGTCGTCGACGATTCGAACCGCTCTGCGTTGTATACGGTCAAGTGGAAGGAGCTGGTACTGGGGAGCAGCAGTACTCCATGTGGGGCCGAATTTGCGCTTTATATAGTTGCATGCGGTGGCCCGGAGTGAAGTACCGTCTCGCCTTGCTGAGCACACCAAGCTTTTTGGAGGCTAATTTAGCCTTTCCCTCCAAGTGACCGCGAAACTGAACGTCGCTCGATATGTCAACGCCAAGTATTCCAATGCTGGTTGTAGCTTTAAGAAGAGTGTTTTCGAAAAGAGGAGTAGCGACAATGGGTGTTTTTTTAGCGGAAAACGCGCAAACTTGTGTCTTCTTGGGGTTAAATTGGACTAGGTTTTGTCTGCCCCAATCTGAGACTCCACGTAGTAGAGTTTCGACTTCAGACACAAGTTTGTTCCGGTACTCATCAACAATTGCCCGAGAAATACCTGCCCGGCCAGTGTAAAAAGTATCCCCAGTGCTGTCATCCGCATAGCAATGAATGTTGCTAAGTTTCAACATATCATTGATATGCAGAAGAAATAGGGTCGGGGATAGAACACAGCCTTGTGGTACCCCAGCTTACGGGGTTTACGGGTTTTAGGTCGGAACATGCTCCGTCGATGACGACCTTGATGCTCCGATCGGCCAGAAAGCTGGAGATCCAATCGCGTAATTTCTCGGGAAGCCCATAGAAAAATTCAAAAATTCCCTTGGACAGCTTTGGCGAGAGACCAGAAGGCTCGAGTCCCTGAAGGGGAGTTGGGCCAATCTCTCGCCAAATCTGGCAATGTGCTCTGACTTTGCCTTAGTGATTTCCCGTTTGAAGGACCTGGAGGCTGAGTTATATGCTTTTTTTAAGTTCGCTGGTGTTGGCATCACGAGATTTCGCCGCTTCCGCCCATGCCTTAAAGCATTCTCGCTTTCGACGCGAGGCCGCCTTGCAAGAACGTTTAAACCAGGGCTGAGACTTGCCACCGATCGGCACCGCAGAAAATGGAATAAAGAGTTCCATGCCCTGCAGAACCACTTCGGCGACAGAGGCGGCGACGGATTCTGGAGCTTCCGGCGAAAAGCACATAGGCCCCCAAGGGTAGGACGCAAAGAAAGACCGCATCCCGTCCCAATCTGCTGACTTATAGTGCCAAATACGGCGACAACCCATAAAGCGGGGCCGTGAAGGGCGCGTAAATGGCACAGTACTCCGGACCACACAATGATCTGATGAACCCAATGGCGGGTCAACAGAGACTTGATAGTTCTCCGGATGAGAAGTCAGCAGAAGGTCCAACAAAGAGGGTTTATGACCATCCACATCTGGTATTCGCGTAATCGCAGGGACCATTTGTGTCAGGTCGTAGGCTAAAGCAAAGTCGTGAAAGGATCTTCCCGCGTGATCGGTGGTTTCAGAGCCGAGCCAATCGGCATGGTGGGCGTTAAAATCGCCAAGTATCACGATTTCAGCGGTAGGAACCCTTTCGAGCAGGGAATCTGTAGCCATTTGGATGTGCTCAATGAGTCGGTCAGTTTCGGTATTTCCGCTATGGGACCTATACAGGCATGCGTAGAATCGCGGATGGTCATCGCAGTCTACGCGCAGCCAGAGGTTAGATAGGTCCCTTCCTTCAAGCGTCCCGAGGCGACGAGAACAGATATCCTCTCTGACGTACACGCAAACTCCAGCCAAAGTATCAGCCGGGGAGGATATCTGAGTCTCGGTAAGAAAGAGCAAGGCCGGCTTCGCAGTCTCTAGATGATAGTGGACAGCGTTGATGTTAGAATTAAGCCCCCTAACATTTGTGAAGTCCACGGCGAGTGTGGACGGGGGTGCCTTTGTATAATTGCTCCGTTTGCCCCGAGGACGATTACTATTTTTGTAGAGCGCAGAATTGCCCCCCCCAGAATACGAAGGGCAGCCTGTGCGTCCACCACCGGGTGCTGAGTGTCCCGGTGGTGGACGCCCAGAGGGGGATTCTCCACCGCGAGCGCGTGTGGTACCCCCCTGGGGTAGATTCTGTTTTTTCTGCACCTTCATATTTCTTGTGTGGGGGGGGGGATGGGCTCCGGGAATCTCTCTCACCGCACGAAACGCGAGTACAAGAAGGCGAACCTTTTGCATCACTTCACGCCGGTTTTCTGAGAGACAGTGGTACTGCCCCGGTCGTGCCTGCCCATTTGGCTGAAGCCCGAAGGCAACAGCATGGCACTCCCACTAGGAAGGGGTTGACTGATTGCGCTGATGAAATAACCTCTGTCACAGATTATTTCACCAGTGGGCGATGGGGTCGTCACGTCCCGACGCCTAATATAAAAATAAACCTACATTGTTATTAATAATAAACAACTTATTCTCATAAGTATGTGAAAATGAATACTACGTTACTTATAATTAAGCATTCTAATCATTTAATTTCTTTAGATAATAACATTTTATAGTAAGTATAATTTAAAAACTGTTTATTAAAACCTACACATAACAATCAAATATACAGTATTAACAATTTTCTTAACCTACATAGTAATACTAAAATCAATTAAAAATTAATAAAAAGACAAAACTAATTTTAAAAGTTTGGTCCCTGTGGCACCTTTAACGCTGGCAGCATTTCCTCTCTGTATTGCGATACTGATTCGTTGAGCGAGGAAAGCACCAGCTCTGGGGTTACCGGTACTATCTACCAGGCGCCAACTTAAATCTTTCTTTAGCGCCTGTGCACTTGAACCCCACGTCCCGAGAGTCTACTCCAAAGAACAAAATCGATGTTGGAGGAAAGGCTCATACATTTGAGTCGTTTATTTAAAAACTAGTTATGTTATTTAAAAACAATAGCTTAAACAATAAATAAATACTTATATAATAAATAACGACGCTGCATATAACGCTACACATATATATATAATTTGATGATAAGTCTCAAATCAAGCGGTGTTTGACTTTATTCGTTACAATACAAAAATTGAAATCTTTCCTCTTTATAATATTAGTATAGATAAAACATTTGCCTCTATATTAGTTCTTATAATTTTACCACACCTGTTGCCTGCTCTTCAACAAGATAAACAATCTCCTCACATGTATTTAAATTACAGTTGCATTATAAATTCATTAGTAGAAATAAATCTAAAATCAATTATCAATCAATCTAATAACATCAACCGAGTCAACCGAGTTGAATCTCACAAGCGCCCGCGCACGATCTATTGTATGCTACTTAGTATGCCAATTCAATGCCATTCAGTATGTATTTCACTTTCAAACCTTCACAACGTTCGTAAAAATTTAATAACATCGCAACAATATTTTGAATTTAATTTCGTGTTGTGGAAACAAGTATGGTACTTGTGAGGAAAAAATCAACGTGAAAACGTAATAAAAATTAAGAGTTTTTACAATGAGTGTATCAGTGAGTGAGAAACCAGTGGAGCTTGACACTGTTTTGGAAAAGTTCAGCATCTACCAAAGATATCATGTAGAGAAGATCACACTAATTTTTATAGCGTTTATGACCAATTCGATTTATTGCAATCAATTTATTTTTGTCACGGAAGCAGTACCATACAGGTATGTATCGTATACATTCAGATTAAAACATAAATTACCAGCAATTAGATATATTTAATGTTACGAAAAATGCGAAAAAAATAATATAAAAAGCTCCGGATCCTTTATTAGATAGAATAGCTTTGTTATTTCTCCTTTATGTTGAAGATATTATAAAGATCAATGCATCTTACAATTTATTATATACCTAGTCGAGCCATACATTCTGTTACAAATGAAAAAGCATTTTTTTAAAGAAGTAATGTAATGTTAAAAAATTTATACCTACATATTTATTAAAGTCTCAGAACAAAAATAAAAAAATATTCTATTCGAAATGGCCACCTTTGGCTTTTATACAGGCCTTTAATCAGTTTGGCCACGAATCTGTGGATTTACGCCCTTTCCAAGGGAAAATTCGCCACTGCTTGCGCCAAAGATTTTTTAAGGGACTCAATGTCTAAAACTGACCATAATTTGAAGTCGCGACAGAAGGCGTTTTGATCGATCCACTCTCTATAATTGTAAAGATTGATTTTGGGCATGGCAGGGCATCGACGATTTTATTTAATAGATTTTTTTTATATAACAATATTTATGAATACAAGTTTTTGGCATTTGTGTATAATGTAATTGTTTAGATATTGTACAATAAGTAGCTTTAGGAATACTGATAAGCAAATATATAAATATATTAAACGAAGTATTCACTTGTTTCATATGGTTTTGGGTATTGTTTTAAAAATATGTAATAAATAAATAAGTAGAATAAAAGAAAAGCAATACCATTTCATAATTACCAATTCAAGTTCATAAGTTAATTGGTTTCTAAATTTTTTTTTACCATATATAGAAACACTTGAGCAGTGTTGCCCTTGTGCCTGCAGCTTACGATTCTCCCTGAGGTCGTAGGTTGGACCAATGGACTTTCTGTGTGCATTTAACAACTCGTACGGAAGGAAATCGTGAGGGAACCGGCCTCAAATCCAAAAATTCCACGGCGTGTGTTAGGCTTATGAGGCTGATGACTTACTTGCCTATTAGAAAGAACAAATGATCAATTGAGGCCAAGACCTAAAATGTTGTAGCGCCACTGATTATTTTATTACATACAATTACTGCGACTATTAAAAAAACATTTCTCTCCGTCCTTTTTTGCGGTCACTTTGATGGCGTTCGTGTCCTTTTGGTGTAGTTTTTATTATGCGGCTAATTTCCTGTACCAGTGTGTTGTGTGTATCATTCACCTATATGAACATAATTCGTGTAATTAAATAATTATTTCCTTATTTATTTATTGTTGGTTCTAGCGCCTTAGTCCGCGTCAAATTTGCATTCATTATGAAAAAAATATACAATACAACTTAATGTACCATTGTTTGACGAATTACATTACCAAAATTGGTAATTGTACTAACGATACACTTAAGAATAATTATTTATTAAATAACACTTCGTTGTATTAAAAGTACAAAAAATAGATAGCTAACGATAAGAATCGATCTCTTCCAGGCAGGCGTATTATGAAAAAAATATAGGGATAGTGCAAATACCCTTGTAATATTTTGCTATACAAGTTTTAATACATGAATTTAAATTGTATATCTAATGCTAATCCCTGACGTTTATATTAACTCAAAACCTTTTGTTTTATGGGGCATACGGGTGGGAGCCTCACCTGATGTTACACTTAACAAACCGCCACCCACGGACACTCAAATTGCCAGAAGTCTCGCAAATGAGTTGCCGCCCTTTAAAATTTTAACTCCAGCCTAAATATTGGTTAATACGATGTTAATTTGTAAAAACTTATTGTATTTAACACACCGGAGTCATACTGTTAATTGTTAAATTATAGTTTTTAAATTGTTTGTATTTTAATTGCATTGCATTGCACTTAACATTAGACGAGCCTCCTGCCCGTTTGCCTCCTATTCCAAAAAAAATTGCAATTTAAAGTATATGCGCTGTAAAGTAAAGAAAACAGTATTTTTATCGTAACCAAGATTCACTTCGATTTAAACAGTGAGTTATAGCTAGTCACCGCTGACCATACAAGATAATATAATGTTAATTTTAATTAGTATTCGTGTTTATTTATTTGAATGGAGATTAATAAACTAAGTGTTGAGCACGATTTTATGTCGTGGTTGAGGTAATTAAATACAATTTAAACTTTAAACACATTTTTATTAATTGCTACCTATACCTACATATGTATGACCTTAGATTTTCACCTGTTTCTGATCTTTAAAACCTTTATAGGGTATTTGAATACATGACTTTGAGAGTCACGCAGTTACCGATCTATACCAAGTATGTCTCTATATATATAAAATTCTCGTGTCACAATGTTAGTTCCCATAGTCCTCAGAAACGGCTCGACCGATTCTTATGAAATTTCTTATGCATATTCAGTAAGTCTGAGAATCTGCTACTATATATATTTCAAACCCTAAGTAATAAGGGGTAACCACCCCAAAAAATTGTTGTTTAATTTTTTTTTTGTTTTGTTTTGATTGTTTTGAAGTTATACTTCTTTAGGCGCGTTATGAAAAATTGATAAGAGTGAAATTTTACGATGCGCGCGCACCGTGACACAAAATTAACAGAATGAAGATGCTACGGCATTGGACATAATTTAAAAACAACATTCGAATAATAATAGAATTTATGTTACACTTAATGTAAGAGAATAATAATAAATATTTATTTATTTAATTTTTCAAATGTAAACTGAATTTTATTGACTATAATGACTCCTTTTCCAGTCTTTGATTATTTAATTGTAATTAATTATTTGCATGAAATCAAAAACTATTTTTAATAATGCCAAAGAAGTATAACTTCTTACGCGCGTACATAAGTACACGCACCCTTTTTTTTATAGTGGACGTAGTGTGAAAAGACCAAAGGGTGAACGTAGTTTAATTTGAGTGGGAGTAATGTTTTACTCGGCCGTTACTCTAAAGCAATATTAAATTTCAATCATTGTCTGGCATTGAGGCTTCCTAAAATAGATAACGTCACGTATCGAGGAAACCTGTTTTCCTTTCAATATATCTAAAGTCGCAAACTTGATTCTAACCAAAACGAAATTAAAACTACGTTTTGGTACTTCATAAACTGGACCGATTAACATGATACAGTTTCGTAAATATTATTTTTAAGATGTCATACAATTTTAATAGGTTTTACAAAATACATTAATTAGTAACAAAAAATTTATATTTGTAAAAATAGATGGAACAATATCTAGTTGTTCAATGTATGGAAAAACTATTAAGTATTTTATATAAATTTAATTTACATATAAATTAAGGAATTCGGTATGACAAATCTATCGACAAGGCCATCAGACACAGAAGGTTGAACAGCTACTGGCTGGAAAGGTGATCTAGAAATTATGAAACACTCCAGGAAGACGTGTTCTCTGATGATTATTTCTTAGTAGTCTTTTGCGTATTCCAATCCAGGATCTTTTTAAGAAACTTTACCAGGATTTTATTGATTATAAAGGTGCGTACAGACTATATAACATAACATGTTATACAACATTGCTATACAACATGTTTCAGATAATGTGGACACTGAATGTTATAAAACATGTTATAATAACATGTTATTGATATGTATGCTAGGACGAACCCAGCATCTACGTTTTTTTGTTTTTCTTTTGTTATTTAAAATGGTTATATAACATTGTTATATTGCATTGTTATTCTAATGTGTACAGTATTGTTTTATGTTATAATGTTAAATAACAAGGTTACATAATGTGGACGTGTTATAAAACACAAGTTATATAATATGTTACATAGTCTGTACGCACCCTAATAAGTAATATTTAATCAGTTTACATAGTTGTTTATTTTTCTATTATTGTACTTTTCGTAAAAGTAAAGCCATTTTTAATTGCGAACCATTTTAAGAATACTGAATACATATAGTCCTATTCATTAATTATACATCATTATATTTATTTTAGTGGATGTCCCAATGTTCTAACAATGACGTGAATAAATTATTTGTAAAAAAAAGAACAATAATATTGAAAAATATCCGAGGTTATTTATTCAATTAAACATATGATAATTAATCTTCTTATAATGCCATCTCCTTGCGAAGGTTGGCGATCATCATGGCTAGTTTGATTTTGGATGCCGCGTTTCTAAATAATGACTTGGTGCTTTGACCAAACCATTGTCTTAAGTTTTTCAACCAGGACGTGCGTCTGCGGCCAGGTCTTATTCTACCTGCCACTGTGCCTTGTATGATTAGTTGAAGGAGCTCATATGATAATTAATACGTTTATTAAAACCTAAACATAACAATCAAATATAAGTATTTACAATTTTCTATAAAACATAGTAATAATATAAATAATTAAAAATTTATAAAAAGAACATTAAAACAAATTTAAAAGTTTGGTCCCTGTGGCAGCCTACCTTTAATGCTGGCAGCATTTCCTCGCTGTTTTGCGATACTTATTCGTTGAGCGAGGAAAGCACCAGCTCTGGGGGTCATCGGTACTATCTACCAGGCGCCAATCTAAATCTTTAATTAGCGCCTGTGCACTTGAACCCCACGGCCCAAGAGTCTCTACTCCAAAGGGAACAAAATCGATGTTGGAGGAAAGACTTATTAAAATTAGTTTTATTTATAAATTGTTGACTTAATAATAAATTAATGTCATTTGTTTTCTTTTGCATTACACTGTTATAGGAACATTTATCTTTCAAAAGATTACACGCGTATAAGTCAAGGTTATGAATACCATTTCATTCTGTTTATGTAAACTGTATTTGATGAACAATTGCATAATTGCTTTTAAACTAGCGAAGATAACTGCAGGAAGAGTTCAAAGTGACCTTTTTCGCAATTAGGCATTTGTACCGTTTAGTGTTCATTACTAAGCGGTTTTTGTTATAATATCTCTAGAGACAATTCTTGCGCAACAATAACAGTTTTCACAATCATATCGATATGAAATCAACTGCCAAATGACTAAGAAATAATTTTAACAACTGTCATAGCAAGAAAATTAAACCAGTGGCGCTACAACCTTCTCAATGTGGCCCTCAAATTTCTGTATCATATCGTGATTTTATTGACAAGTACTCGTAAGTGATCAGCCTTCTGTGCCTAACACACGCCATCGACTTTTTGTGTCTATCGCATGTTGGTTTCCTGTTTTCCTTCACCGTACTAGGATGTATTAAAGGTGCACATAGACATAATGTTAATCGGTGCACAGCTGGGGATCGAACCTACGACCCCCATAGTGAGAGTAGCACGATGAAACCATGAGACCAACACTACTTTTCATGCAATATTATATATAATAGAACATTTCTAAAATATCGCTCATCTAATAATAATTGATTTAATTAATTGACTAACGAATCTGATTATATAAAGTTAATTAATTGTCGTTATATTTATAAATACTGTTATTTAGTTCTTTGGAAGTGATAAAAAATGCTGATCACTGAAATAAGATTCTAATTGCATTCATAATTACTAGCATAAGTCTAACCTCGGAACATGATAAATAGGGGTACAAGATCGCGACCTTTGCGGACTGGTACCCTTTGCGGTCCGTAAATTGCAAAGCAAGATAAAAGTAAAAATAATTAATTATATAATTATTACTAAGCAAATATTAAATGTGAGTGACGTTATTTTTTATACGTACTGTGCACAATCAGAAATATTTTTTTAAACAAAACGATTGTTTACTGTGATTAAAAAGAGTGGTGGAGAGTTTATTGCCAGTTCTTCTCTTCCGTTCTACGCCCTTGATTTGAGAAGTGGCAGTAAATGTAAAATTAGAAGCATTTAATGTATATTTATTTTTTGACGTTCATAAGTTGTACATTGTGTTACCTGTATGAAAAAATGATTTTGACTATTGACTTTTGTGTATTGCTAAATCTAAATTCTAATAATTATCAGTTGTATTTATTAAACATATTTCTTTAACAATGCAATAGGTATTGAGACGACCTCTTTAGTATCACACACTTAATATTATTGTAAACATAAATAATTCATGTATATAGTACATATTGTAAAATTTAAATTGTTAATACTGAAGGGTTATTATATGTTAGACAACGTTCTTGTTGAATAATTTACAAACTATCGAAGAAAATCCTTACGGTAAAGGAACGTGAGGTAACAGATATGCGTATATATACGTAGTTAGATCGCCTACTTGATGAAGTATGAAGGATGGAACAAAAAGGAGCGTACCGGTTCCCGACAGAAACTTGCCTATTGGTAGTGTGTGTTTTACTTAAATTCAGGTGAAGCTGTTTGTTTTGTAAACAAAAAAAAACAAATGTAAAATCTAAAGCTAACACGAAGCGTTTTTGCGCTGCTGGATTATTTATCCAGTGTAGATTAATATATTAGGTCCTTACATATGAAATTGGCGTTTTTCGTACTGGCCACTTTAATCACGATGTTCTTCTCTTTGATTCAAATTTGTACAGCTATTTACTCATATATTTGTGCTTCGATGACCGTCATTCATTTGTTTTTTTCTTCTGTTTTTTTCTGTTTGCGTCACTCATTTTACAAAATGGAAAACTTAAAGTATCGCATTATTTACGAGTACGAGTTCCGCCGTGGCACTAGTGCTGCGGAAACGACTCGAAGGGTGAATGATGTGTATGGCGGTCATGTTGCAAAAGAAAACACAGTTCATTTTTGGTTCCAACGTTTTCGTTCTGGAAATTTCGACCTGCAGAACAAGCCCCGTGGACGGCCTGAGACCCAAGTTGATAATGAAGTATTGAAGGCTATTGTGGAAGCGGATCCATCGCAAACCACGTCCGAGTTAGCTGCAGGCTGCGGTGTTAGTGATAAAACTGTTTTAATTCACTTGAAGCAAATTGGGAAGATTAAAAAGCTTGAAAGATGGGTACCTCACGAATTGACTGAAACAAACCGTCAAACGCGCGTCGACTGCTGCGTTACATTACTGAACCGGCACAATAATGAAGGTATTTAAACCGAATCATTACCTGTGATGAAAAATGGATTCTTTACGATAATCGGAAGCGTTTAGCGCAATGGTTGGATCCTGGCCAGCCAGCCAAATCCTGCCCCAAGCGAAAATTAACCCCAAAAAAGTTACTTGTAAGCATTTGGTGGACTAGTGCCGGTATTGTTCATTGCAGTTTTCTCAAATCTGGCCAGACTATTACGGCTGATGTCTATTGTCAGCAATTGCAAACCATGATGGAAAAGCTAGCGGCTAAACAACCTAGGCTGGTCAATCGCTCCACGCCACTGCTACTTCACGACAACGCTAGACCACACACTGCACAACAGACGGCTACCAAATTAGAAGAGCTTCAATTGGAATGTCTAAGACATCCTCCGTACTCCCCGGACCTTGCTCCAACAGATTACCATTTTTTTCGAAATTTGGACAACTTCTTGCAAGGGAAAAAATTTAACTCTGATGGGGCAGTCCAAATCGCCTTCACAGATTTTATTGATTCCCGTCCGACTGTTTTTTTAGTAAAGGGATCAATGAACTACCTATGAGATGGCAAAAGTGCATAGAAAACAATGGTTCATACTTTGATTAATTAAATATATTATATTAAAAAAAAAAATATGTGCGTGTACTAGGTGTACACACGTAAGAAGTGAAACTTATATCAAACCTTTGTTGTACGCAGAGCCATAATTGGTTTGTTTTAAGTTTAGAGGTCCGAAACTATTTCTTTAAACACAGTAAATTTTGATACACTGCCTAGCATACAATTTACAAATTAATTGCTGCAAATTGCGATTAGCAAATTTCAAGTCGAAAATGTAATCCGTTTTCAAACATCAAAGTCAAAAATATACTATATATCATATTTTAACGCCGATAAAGAAGTTTGACTTCGAAAATGTAATCCGTTGTCAAACTTCAAAGTCAAAAACATACTATATGTCATATTTTAACGCCGATAAAGAAGTTTGACTTCAAAAAGCAACATGGCGCGTAACGGAAAAATGTGACGCGTAACGCCAAAATGTTACACTAAATTTTTTTCCAACCCCGATAAAGAAGTTTCACTTCAAAAATATTCGACTTTTTGTTCCTCCCATACAAAACGCCAATTTCATATGTAAGGACCTAATAATAGCAACTAAATAGATAATATTATTTTGTCTTTTATGTTTAGGCGTTCAAATCACTTAGTAGATTCAATGATCAGAAATATTTATTTCTTATTACAATATTCTGTTAATTATAGTTGTACCACAAATAACGGTTCGGTGGCCGTCGATACATAATCTTATACTATAGTAAGTCCTGAGTACATACCTCGTTGTAGTGTTTCTTACTAGGAAGAAAGGCACACAATTACGTAAGGATTGGGAGAAATTGTTAGTTTGGGAACAAAGAGAGGTTAGACTGATGCTGTACCTTGTCTTACAATAATAGTTCACGAACACGCACAAAACACTCACTATAAAAGTCTAAATGGAGGACGTAACTATTGACAAGAAATTAACAAAAGTATATATAAAATGCATCAAACGTTAACCGAGTGAATCTCAACAATGACTAATGAATAAATGTGAGGATCAGCCGAGTAAAAAGATTTTTGAGTTCACCCTCATCAAATTTAATAAAATTAAAAATATGTATTTCGAACAATAGTACTTAAGGATTTAATCTTTAAAAAATTTAATTTTTTACAGCTCCCTGCTCCCTGATACATAAAATAGGATCTGATAAAAATTTGTTCCTATTCCGTGTTTAAATAAAATATTCATAATCATTTTTTAAATCTATTCATAAATTCGCACTCAATTTCTCGTCAAACTAAACCAATAACACAATTTTAGAGATTTAATTTGTTCTAGATGTGTAGACTCGCAGAATTTCAGCGAAACGCCGGAGATATGTGGCAAGAATGTGTCACAAAGTTGCAGCCACTGGGTTTATCAAGACCCTGACAGTTTCGTGGCCCAAGTGAGTTGTCATAATATTCATATCTTTATTAGTTCTGATATTTCTTATCTATTATACTATTATAACATTGCGTGACAGGATAAGTAATAATGAGCTGAGTAATATAGGACGACGACAAAAAATTAAAGCGAATGCTTAGGTGGTTTGGATATACATGAAGGATAGTACAAGGGAACCGTGGATTGAGAAGTCAAATTGGGTAGGCTTTGACCGACATATCTGAACCACAGGCAGGTACTAGAGGAAAAGTTGAAAGTACCCATAAACGACGAGCATGTATTTCAGGACCGACCAAGTGGAGATCCGTGGTTTCTGCGTACCCCTTCGAGAAAAAGCCGTGATGCGTTGATAAAAAATACTATTATAATTAATATCTATTTAATAAATTACTGTTCAAAGAGAAGTTTATCATTAGTTGATTAACTTCAACCAATTATGTTTTTACTAGGATTTCCAGATAATACAACCTGTGCATTAGTCACTGACTACATCAAAAGCTCGTTATATTATACGATTTTTCTAAATAAACTGAAAGTCTATTTTTAGTCTGTCAAATATGCCTTATTGCCTAAAGTATAACTTTAATTCCTTTACTCTAACCTGTATACCTAGAAGGATAAGTGAAATCGACAAGTAATAGAAAGACAATTGAAAGTCATAACATATGTTTATACGAATAACTTGAGCAGCGCTTGGCGTATAAAACTTAACAAAAGTGTGAATAGAATTTGTGTTGTAAAACTAAACTAATAAAGATTGTGTGCGTTAGAGCTGTAGAAAACTGTATTAACAAATCGTCATCGTTCGGTAATAAAATACACATGTTGGTAATTTATTTTAGAAATTTTTATTTTACTTATTACATTTTACTGCTTGTTGTACTTTTATATATTATACTTGTTGCCTTTCTTATAGTTTGATCTGGCCTGTGAGGATTGGAAACGAACTATGGTGGGGACAGCACATAACGTAGGTTATATGATTGGTCTGCTTATCGTTGGACCACTTTCTGATAAGTAAGTTGTTTGAAGTTTTCATCTTAATCTGAGATATTAAAAATAATAGTCATTTATACCTATTGTAAACCCCCAAAATACCTTATTATAAATGATATATGAAGTACAATACACACATAGTAGTGTTGGCCTAGTGACTGTGCACAAATGGACTTTTCTGTTTATGTGCGCGCACTCGTTCTTACGTTGAAGGAAGACATCGTGAGGAAACGGCGTGGCTTAGACCCAAATCGTTGCCGGCGTGTCAGGCATAGAAGGCTGATCAACTACTTGCCTATTACAAAACACAAATAATCAGGAAACAGATACAGAAATCTGAAGCCCAGACCTTAAAAGGTTATAGTATCATTGGTTTGAAAAAAATATATAATAGGTTGCAAACATTTTCTCATTTTAAGAAAGAATCTTTCAGTTTTCTTATAATGAATACTTTTCTACTTTTCTAATTACCTTCGTCAACTCCTTGATATAATATAAACTTGGAGTTGTGGGACTTCCATGACTTCCCGGAATCCCATGATAATGTTTTGATATTATACATTTCAGGTTTGGTCGAAAAAATATTTCAATATTGACGGGAGTCTTAGGTGGAGTATTTGGCGTATTAAGGAGTTTCTCCAATTGGTACTGGTTTTTCGTCGCCATGGAGTTTATGGAAGCCCTCATAGGGGATATCTGCTCGCCCATGTTCGTATTAAGTAAGTTTTTTTAATACTCTCCACACCAAAAATTTTGGAAACAAACTAAATTATAGAGATATTTCATTAATCATAAATTTCGAATATATATATTTTACTAACGACTGAATGAATACATGGAAAATAATATATATACTAGCTGACCCGCCAAACGTTGTTTTGCCATGTATATTATTTCTAGGGAACATTTTATTAGTTCAACAAAAATATCTATGTACATTAATAAAAAATAGGGGTTGATCGTAGAGGGGTAAATATTAGGGGTTGTATGTATTTTTGTATGTTGTATCATAAAAAAATAAAAACAAAAAAAAATATAAAAAAAAAAAAATTAGGGGTGGACCACCCTTAACATTTAGGGGTTTGAAAGATAGATAGTAGCCGATTCTCAGACTTACTTATAGAATTAGAATATGCATAAAAAATTTCATAAGAATCGGTCCGGTCCAGCCGTTTCGGAGGAGTATGGGAACGAACATTGTGACACGAGAATTTTATATATTCTACCCCACAGACGTTGTCCTCATATATTTAAAGCATTAGGATACTAACAAAGTATGAAAGCACCACTGCAATCCATCTCCGGGCTGATTTGTGAATTAAACCATTCCCAGACCCCTTGAACACACACAAAAATTTCATCAAAATCGCGGTGAAAGAAGTTCAGTGACATACACACTCACAGAAGAATTATATATATAAAGATATTTATACGCTTATTAAATACGACTTTTTCTTTCAGCACTAGAAATCGTCCCTTCTAACAAGCGACTAATCTTCAACATGTTGGCCAGTTATGGTTATACGGTCGGCGGCTTGCTCCTTGCAGTCTTTGCTTGGCTCATTCAAGATTGGCGTTGGCTTCTACGGGCCCTTTACACGCCTGCTCTTCTGTTCATTCTCTATATCTTCTTCCTCGACGAAAGTCCTAGATGGCATCTATCAAAAGGACGAAAGGAAGAGGCAACTGCAATTGTAGAAAAAATTGCAGCAAAAAATAAAATAAAACTTGACCAAAACATGCTTGATAATTTAAGCTATGAGAAAGAAGAAAGTACAAATTTAAAAACGATTTTAGTGAGCACATTAAAGTCTAGGAAATTGAGAACAAGATTCTTTGTATGCGTTATTTGGTGGATGACATCTACCTTCGTGAACTACGGAATGGTTTTGAACTCTGTATCGTTACAGGGAAATAAATATGTAAACTTTGGTCTGACACAATTGGTTGACGTTCCGGGCTTGTTGATCGTTACTAACATTTTGCTGCGATTTAAACGAAAGAAACCATTGATAATTTGCTTTTCTCTTGGAGCTATTATGTGTCTTGCACAGCCTTTTGTGCCGAAAGGTAAGAAATATTACATTTTTTTTAAATTTTTCGAAGATTTAAATAAAATTTGTATAGGTTTCTTTAGAAGTTTTAAACAAGCTTTTAGATTTGATTGATTAAAATAATATTATAGAAAAAAATATCAATGCAACTGGCGAAATGTCTGTGCTCCAATTCAGTAATTACGTGTCACATTTTTGTGATATTTTTATTTTCAGACATACAGTGGCTGTCCATAACGTTCTACATGATTGGGAAACTGATGTCGTCCTTCTACTTTGCCATTACATATTTGTATACCTCAGAACTATTTCCTACATACACTAGAAACTCCATGCATGCTCTGTGCTCATCTCTAGGAAGAGTTGGATCTATACTAGCTCAACAGACTCCATTGCTGGTGAGATTAAATTTATTTATAAGATTTTAGTTGAAAAGCATTAGATAGTCATCATCACTACATAGTATAAAACAAAGTCGCTTTCTCTATCCCTATATCCCTATGTAGGCTTAAATCTTTAAAACTACGCAACATCTTGATGCGGTTTATATATAATAGATAGAGTGATTAAAGAGGAAGGTTTATATAATAACATCCATTAGATAGTGGAGAAATACTGTTATTTTTGAGGTTTCTAATGTGATGTCGTTACATTTTTTCCGCTTACCGTTATGTGTTAAACTGTCATTCTTCTTTCGCGATGGATGGCAAGGAATATAAACATTTCTGTATTTGCAAAAATGTTGTATTAATGTTATAACCTTAATTAAATCCTAAATAATTAACTAAAGTTAACACGATATTATTCGACTGTTAGGCGGAACGAAGTTAGCCGGGTCAACTAGTTTTTTAATAAAATTTAAAGACAATATTTTCGACTAACATTTAACTAACAGTCCTAATAGGAAACAAGTAGATATTTTTATAAAACTTTTACATATTTTCATAGCTCGACGTTTTGATTGTTTAAAGTTGACATATTTACTATTTCATAATATGATTAGAGTCGATTGAATCGTCATATTGACGCCAATCGATTTTAAAAGAAATGATTTATTGTATCCCTTTGTTGAAACAATATTGTTAATTTTACATACTTCATTGTTATTTATATAACTCAATTTCACACATAATCACATTTTCTTCGGTTTTGCTACACTTGCATTTAATGTTTATAAATTTTGAATAATTTATAAACATTATAAAAATATAATTGTGTTTTTTTTTTTACATTTGGGGACTCATTTAAGAAGACCTGTCAGGGGGTATAAATGTAACGGGCTTAATAGATTTAATTTGATTTTTTTCTTACAGCTGGTTTACTGGAGTGGTTTGCCAGCATTAATCTTTGGATCAGTCGCTCTTTTTGCTGCGTTTGTAACATTATTGGTCCCTGATATATCAGATGACTCCCTTCCCGATAATGTTAAGGAAGCTGAAGCGATAGGCAAGAAAGACAAGGATGTGAGCGCGTGATCTTCATGACGACGTTTCGGGCAAATAAGTATTAAAAGACATTGAAATCTTAATATATTTATTAAACTATTAGTTACCATTTTCAATACGTGGATAGTTTCAATTACGCTATAAATAAATAAGCGCTGGACAGTTTCCTATGTGAACTCGGGAGCTATGGAATCTGCTTCCATTCGAGATACGAAGTTCTAGTATTTAAAAAATGTGTTCCTCTATCGTCGCTGGCAACGCACCCATGAGCATAGGTAGCTACCAAATCGAATTATAAATCAGCAAGCTTACCTTGTATCTTTAATAAGCATGTACGTACGACCGCGGCACGATTTTTGTGATTCCCTTAAATGGTTCTATTGATCATAAATTTAATATGCCTTTACTTTTCTGTTTGTTATTTAATATCGTGTACAATACTGGGACGGAGTACCAAACTCCGTAGGAAGAAGTGTAATGATGTCATCTAAAAACAAAACCCAAATCAAATCCCTTTTAACGCTGATGTCACAGTTATGGAGTACCTTTGTATTCAAGGGGTAATGCTATTGAAGTTTCGTAGTAGGCTTGCAGGCGTCTGGTAAAATTTTCAACTGTGACTATTACTTTAAATGATACAAAATTGTTGAAGGAAGACTGTATTTTGTCGCTTATTGTACATATACATTGGAATGTAACATGTATTGTAGTATAAGCGAATTAATTTATTTAGAAATTAAACGCTCTTCAATTATTCTGTAGTAATAAATGTAACATCAACGCATTCATGCGTAATAGTTTTAACGGTTTACTAATGAATTTAATTGTTGATTTTTACAATATTTGTAAGTTTTTCTCTATTGTCGAATCTAATTCTGTAATTGTCAATGGTCGAGTATTTGACAAGGTTGTAAAAACATTTTAAATTATTTATTAGTGACTGTATAACCGACACAAATTGTTATTTTTAATTATAGTAAGTCTTTAAAATGGGGGCCTCATAGCCTAGCGGTCTTATTAAGTGGCAGCTAGGTGAGGGGTACCGGGTTCGATTCCCGGTTCGAGGGCAAGTTTTAATTTAATTTAAATTTGTTCTCGGCCTTTGGGAGGATTGTGCGGTACAGGGCAAGTGCCTAAAACCGTACATGGAGGACGTGGTCGAATTTCCAAGGCAAAAACACGAATTATAAAAACCTTATACTTGACCGCTAATCACAAACGTGCCAACCATAATTAAAAAAAAAAAAAGTCTTTAAAATTTATAAAGCATTCATAATTTTAACTCGCCAAAACGCTTCTGTGGGCAAGGTGGCGTCGCGTCGCACCAGTCCCTATGACGTACCATGACAGTTAACACGTAAACAAATGTCATGTTTTTACGTGTTAATTAATTATCATTCCTAAATTTTTTTTTTAATAAATCATTCCTTAAGGAAATTTTACTCCAAATAGTATTAGGATTAGACAGGCGAACACATTATGCTAAATCATCGTCGATTTGACTAATATATATATGGCCGTTTTATGTCACTGATAAGTCACTTAAGCTTAAGAAAATCAATATAGGCTGGATTTTATTATAAATTGATTATTTATTATTATTTACAAGTTCTTTTACTCACAGAACAATAACAATTTTTAACACAGATTACTCACAATAACACTTTATTATCTAATCTGTCATATAGCACATTGTAGAGCGTACACAGAATTCCGCGACTCTTTCCGAGCTACATTTCTTCTCCGAAATCTTTGACTAATTCACGAGGTCTTATTTGTCAAGTTATTATATCTAAGTTATAAATTATGGTTATTATATCTAAGTTATAAATTATGGTTATTTATATTGTCTCTAAAAAAATCTAATATAATTAGTTTATAATGATAAAATAGGACAACCTCTGTGGACCATCATTTAAGCTCAATTTCTCGATAAAAATACATGTACAATGAGAGCTAAAATGATCGTAAAAAGTCTAGAAAAAACACTAATGAAATAAAAACAACTTATTAAAAAAGCAAAAGTGCAAACATATTTTTGTTTTAAAACAATTAAAGCATCAACGAAATAATTGTTACAGACAGAAAATATTTCGCGGAAAATTGCTTTTAAATTAATAGTTGAAATCCACCAAGTTTCGAATTCTCTGTTATTGTAAAAAGCAATTTTCGGTTGCTAATCTAAGCTAGCTAGCTGATCTTTCAAAAACAATTATGTTATGTTTGAGCAGGATCCTAAAATTCCGAGGGCGGAATGGGTCCGAAATCCGGAACAGCTACGCTATCGCGTGTCGCGAGTAGTTTGACTATTGACTTTTACAGAATCACCCTAAATAACTAATAAAAGTACTTGAGCGGATATAAACGCGAATTAAAATAAAATTTACATTGTGTACTAGTTCATATTGAATTTGAACCATTGAAAACTTTCACTTAAGGTAACATTCGTACTCAGAGTCATGATTTGAATTATCTCTAATGTTAATTAATAATACACCTCTATACAAACTCTGAGTACGGCTGTGGCAGTGACTTCGCTTCTATAGTACATATTTGTAATTTTAATCTAAGACATTATCTGAATATATAATGTAATACAGAAATATAATTTATTGAAAGCATTTATGACTTTTACTTATGACTTATGATTATTAAAAATCTTATGTAAAATGAATCTCTATTTCCTTTGGTCATAACGCAATGATGGAACAATTTCGCGAATTGCCAATTTTTAATTTGTTGTGTTTGTTATTGAGAGGTTATTTCACAAAGAAAAGAAGTTTAAGAAAATTCTCAACATAAATTTACGAAAACTTAACGATAATTTTACGTAACTGTCAGTTGTTTAAACCAAAATTAATTAATTATAGAACTTAGTTTTTTTACGCATTGTTTATTTACATAACTCAATATACTAACTATACACCAAAAACAAACTGTTCTATTTCTAATCGAACTTTCGTGAATACACCATATTGCTGTAAATACCTAATAACCTCTCCAGAGAATGTGAAATTAATTGAATAACCAGAACGTCGTCAGCAAGAGTTATGAATGGACAAACTGGGGGCCAATTTCCATGTTTGTTTCTAATCGGGAATTCCCAGTCGAATGCGGATATGTAATTGCGAGACGTTACAGCGCCCTGCAACGTAGAGAGCCGCTGCGCTGGGGCCTTTACGCTTAACGATTCCTGTGTTTATACGAACGAACGAAGTCTTTATGTAATATTTGGGGGTCAGAAGGATCCTTAAATACGATAGCAAGTCGATTACATATTATATATATTTATTGGTTTTATACAAAAAAAAATTTATATGTATCAGCCACAACTGGCAATACAGGTATGTAGCCCATTTGAAAATAGAACAAAAGGTAAATAATGTATACAAATATTACAAAAACAAAGTCGTTAGTAATGTTACTCTACCCTATTGTATGACTTTGCTGTGGAGTGGAAACCTGCTTATCCATATCCTAGGATACCTAGCTTAGAAACCAGTCTCTCAATACCTTCTTAATTGTAATCGTATTGTTTGTTGATGAAAATGTTATATGGGAGGAAAAATTACACTTTTAAAAATTAAGCTACTAATTGTTATAATTTAATTATACCTTAACTTTGCTTAAAATTAACTAAACTAACTAAAGGCAAGGCCAACTTCAACAAGGCTCCTTATATAATGATTTGTTTAATATATAGTTTTACTAATTAACAAATAAAGTTACAAAAAAATAATAATACACATAATTAACCATACTATATCAATTAATCAATGGCGTTTCTATCAACTTATAAGTTCATCGTCAAGTAAGTCCGAAACTCTTATAATTAGAAGTTTATTGGATCTAGCAATATTGGTAAATCAATATAATATTATGTATAATATATCTAAACATGTCCATTGCTTCGAAAATAAAAGTATTTCATAATATCAAGAAAACATGAACTATAGTAGTCGGTGAAATAAATAATTTAGATTAGGGGCTATAGTTACACTTAAAAAGCTTTTGTATGTGACTCTTATCCCTCAAGACGCAGGTTCGATCCCCGGCAGTGCATCAATGGACTTTCTTTCTATGTGCGCATTTAACATTCGCTCGAACGGTGAAGGAAAACATCGCAAGGAAACCGGCTTGTCTTAAGGTCAGTACTCACATACGGTATTACTCGATAGTTTTACTCGAAGTCGAGTAAAAATCAACGTGTGGACAAAAACGCAAAACTTACAGCTCGAAGGCTGGCATCGAGCCGGTTCGATGGAATTAAATGAAAGTAATTTCCTTCGAACCTATCGAAGCGAGCCGTCAATCTTGACTCGAACTGTACGTGACTGCGAGTGGCGCGAGGGAGCGTCAGTCTGGTATTGTTTATCGTGATTGAAACACGTGTTTTTAAGAGAAATGGATTTTTAAGTAAATTCCAAAAGCGCTATAGAAGACTTTATTAACACATACAGACAGTGTGAGTGTTTATGTAATGTCAATTCCAACGATTACTCAAAAATAAGAGAAATGAATGTTATGATAAATTACTAGCTGTGCTTAACGTTTTTCTTTTCATTTTCTTTTATTTTCTTATAAAGCACTGTGAGACTTGCTAAAAAATACAGCCACCGTCTCCTTTATTGCACAGACATCCTTTGGCTCGAACAGTTCGGTGAATAGTGAACGGCGCGCCTCACTCGATAGATCAATGCTCAATGTGTGGACGAAAGCCCATGCCATGGGTTTTACTTGACAGTTTATCTTGATCGAGTAATACCGTATGTGAGTACTGACCTTTAGAATAAAAAGTCGACAGGGTGTGACACAGGAAGTTGATCACCTACTTGCCTTTTACATTGACAAATGATCATGAAACATAAAATAAAAAGGTTGTAGTGCCACTGATTTATTTTATATTTATGTAGCCATAGACTTATAATCCTTCCTACTATTTATGTAGCCATAGACTTATAATACTTCCACGAATAAAGATATTTTGAGTTTGAGTTTGAAATGGTAGTCGTAACGTTTCCGTGTCGTAA